TAGGCCTCTTAGAATCGGGCTCTAAAATGTAACATAAACGGCCGTATAATAATAGTAGGCCATGCGTCAACTTATTCAATGATGCTGACACTTTGATTAGGTTTTTATGTTTCTCACTGCTAACATGGCCTTTAAGTCAGTTGCTTCTATGATAGCAAATGACAAATCACAAATCATACACTTTGCCTCATTCTTGTCGTGGCCTTCAACAAAGCATGAATACTTTGTTTTCATAGTATTTGTGAGTTTGCATTTTTCTTGGTAAAAACTCATTTTTATAAAAAAATTGCAATTTAATATAAGTGCTATAAAAGCTGCTATAAAAGTGTAAGCAAAAACTGACATAGGCAAGGTGTGCTGAAATAAAAAGTGTTAAATAAAATAGAATAGATCTATACTTTTTATAAAGTTTTTTAATTCCTTGGCCGTTCTATAGAACAATAAACGAACTTGAAAAATTATACAGTTTGAGAACAGTTTTGAATGGAATGAAATTTTTTGAATGGAATGAAACAATTATGAATGGAATGAAATTAAGTTCTAACTTTTATTGCTTCGATTTTTGTTCGTCAAACTGTTTGAATAATGTTTGAATGGACATCAAGACAAAATAAACGTTGTAATTGGAAAAGCGAAACGCACAAAGTGAGAAGTAGAACTTGACGTTTTATTTAAAGAATAGAACGTCAAAAAAAAAAAAAACTTATAAAGGTTTTTCAGTTTTAAGAATAGCTAAGTTTAAATGAAAAAATATAAGTAAAAAAAAAAAAAAAAAAAAAATTTAAAATGCCGGACATTTTAAAGGTTTTCAGTTTTGCCTGCCAGACAGAGGACAAAGGATAAAAAAGGAGGACATGTCCTCCTTTTGCCAGACGTCTGGCAACCCTACTCATAAGGAACTTATTAGTAAAGAGTTACGTAGTTGTGTTGTTGTTTGGTGGAGGGGTCTAAACGGTCAAATATTGCGTGACATAATTTGTGTACTTTCTCATATAAAAAAGGTAGAGTTCTGCCACATTTTTTTCTAGAAAAAAAGTTGACAGTGGCTATTCTAGGAAAATAATTTGGGCGGCAGTACCTCCCATGCTGGCGCCTGCCATAAAGAAATTTAGCAGAAAGATTGCTGTATGTAGGCATTTCTTGTGAAAAAAAGCAGTCTTTTGTGAAGCCTCTGTTCCAAGCTTCACGCATTGTTCTACTGCTTGGGTGTAACAAGATATTAAAAAAGTCAATGGAAGATGTTGATGAAGATGAAACTACCCTATTTTGTAGAAGTCTTATTCCTATTATGAAAGAACTTCCATAAAAGAAAATAGACGGGCTATGATAAAGATAAAAACACTTATTTTCAACATGAAATATGGTGAGAATGAAGAGTAAATTAAATATGTATTATATATATAAACTTTTAGAGTAATTTATATATATATATATATATATTATATATATATATATATATATATATATATATATATATATATATAATTATATAAATAATTTCTAATCATTTATATATATATATATATATATATATATATATATATATATATATATATATATATATATATATATATATATATATATATATATATATATATTATATATATATATATATATTTATATATTATTTTATTTGTTTTATCAATGTGTTTTTTATTTTCATTTTTTAAGAACATCTTTAATGTACTTCTTACTTTTGACTTTTTTTCAATTATCAAGTTTTGGCATTGGTGTAATTATTTATTAAGTTTAAAAGCTTTTAATTTTATTTTTACATGAACTATTTAAATATAAAAAGCAATCTTTAGATCAACATAAAAATTATTATTTTGAAGTTCAAGATTTTAAGTTAATGTTGTAATAAAATTATTATTATATTATTAAAAGTATATTTGCTACCTGGTAAAAGTCATACAATTTTACAATATCAATTATTAACATAATTTACTTTATCTTTAAAGAAATACAAGAATAAAAAGCGTCATAATGTTTTGAGTAATAGTTTTTAGTATTTACCCTTAAACTACATGGTTTAATATAGTGACTTATACGTTCACCTTAACAAGTTTCTATTTACTAAGTCTAGTTTCCAGTTCTCCTTCTGGTGTATTAAAATATTCTTTAAAGTCGTCTCTAACTTGCTTTGCATCTTTTGAGTAGTTGTTAGAACCTGAATGTGACAGTGGTTGTAGTGCAGCAGAACATGAATTATCTTGGCTCCAATCACCTGGTCTAAATCCAGCAGAACCGTCAATATTGATGTAGTTTGTGGGACAGTAGAGATAATTGTTTGCTGATCTTTTTTTTATAAGAAAGCTATGTAGGGCTACAATAGCTTGTGTAATTAAAATGACTTTTTCAAGATTAGCAATGATTGGTCTGCGAAATATTCGAAAGCGTGTTGTAGCAGTATTAAATGTATTTTCTATAACCCTTCTGACTCTTGAAAGTCTGTAATTGAATATTTTTTGATCTAAAGGAATATTTTGATTAGGGTATGGTTTCATCATGTGTCATTTTAAACCAAAAGCATCGTCGGCAACTAAAACGTACGGTAATATTTTTTCCGAATTACCAATATATTCAGGATCAGGAATATTCAATTTATTATTTTCAATTGCATAACCAAGACTGCAATTGTTAAAAACGCTACCATCACTTTGTCTTCCCGAGTCACTAATGTCTACCATAGTAAATTCGTATTTAGCATTACAAACAGCTAGAAGAACTATGCAATGTGTTTTCTTATAATTAAAATACTCTGATCAGCCATTATGAGGAGCTTGCATAACGATGTGCTTGCCATCTATTGCACCTATAGCATGCGGAAAATTTCACATGTTTTCAAATTCTTTTGCAATTGTTTTCCATTCTTGTTTTTCTGATAGGACGCGTAGAAAATTTCTTTTCTTCAATGATGTCCAGATAGCAGCACATGTTTCACTAATAATCCTACTGATAATAGTTGCGCTGATTCTGTAACTTGCAGCAATAGTGCAATGAGCATCTCCTGTTACAAGAAATCTAAGTGTTACGGCAAACCTTTTCCTCGGACTCACAGGGTCTCTCATGGTAGTTCTTTGTTTCACAATGATAGGTGCTACAAACGAAAGCAACTCTTTGTAAGTCGTAGAAGACATACGAAAATACTTAAAAAAGTATTCCTGGTCGTGTAAACGTAAATCTTGGACTGATAAGTGAAACTCTCCTTTCTGAAGGCGTTTGGTATAAATTTTCCTAACCCAAAATCGTTTTTTCTTTTTTTTTTTTTTTTCTCGTTTCATTTGCAACATTTTTAAAATAATTTTCTTCGAACTAACAACAATCTTCTTTTAATCAACATGTTTTCCAAAAAGCGCGCTAAAATTTACGTGGAAATTAAAATTCTGATTCTGCGAAAAATTAGTGGCGAAAAAATTCGCTTCGCGCGAAATAATTTGCTCCGTGGAAAGCCGCCTTTACTTGATTGGATCTTTGCAGTCAACAACATAAAAAAAAAAAAAAAAATGCAAAACAGGAGAAAAAAAACGTAGTAGTATTTCACTGTGTATCAAATATGAATCTTTTTATCTAATGCCATTTTTAAAAGCAAATTCTCTTTAAAAAAAAAATTTTCTCATAATTACTAGGTTGATTACCTTTAACAAGTTTCATTAGGCAGAAATCTTGACAATTTTATCACTTCAAATATGTGTTCTGCTCCATTTATTAAGTTTTTTTTCCAATATAAATTTTACAGGGACATGTTTTTAAAAGAAAAGAAACTAGGCATTTCTACTTTTCTGTTAGGGTTCTCTCTTTTTTAGATAAAAATCAAAATTGACTTGTCACTCGAAGAAGGTTGTCCTATTACTGCAATTGTTCCTTTATGCTGAAAAAACTTTTGTTAATGTAGCGTTTTTTCTTGAAGATCAGCGATTTAAAGTTTTCTCCCATCTTTATATTTTCCTGATAATGTTTAGATTTTTAAATCTGTCAACCATTTTTTATAACTCTTAACTTAAATAGTTGTTTCCTGTAGGTTTGTCACAAACAACTCATCTAAAAATATATATATTTTCACTCTCTTGCAACAACTTGTGCTTTTCATCCATTGCAGCAATTATCAGTCTTTTGTATGTATAGTTCAAAATATTATTATGTCTTTTTTTAATGTATTCCAAAGTTTTTCTTTTGAAGAAGAACATTGTTTCCAGGCAACTTTAGGCCAAGATCAAGATTGTTCTCAAAAATTCAATTGCAATATGATTAAAAGATTGAATTCATGATTTTCACTTTACTATTTCATTCACTATGCAGATATAGTTTTTTCTAAGGATTTTTGAGATTATTACTTTTTTGCATTACATAGTTTTTTTTTTACTTGGTGAACATGCATTTTTTGATTTTTGGAACTCTATCTTATGCAATGAAGAAATACCATTAAATGTGAAAGTTCTTCAAACTATAACAGAGCTTTGTATTTAATGGTTAAGCATCTTCTGTTGTTAAAGATCTTGAGTTAGCAGCTTTTTAAAGTTAAATGCTGTTTAGATTATTAGAGTTGTTTTATGTGGTTGCCTTTATGAGGTTTTCTCATTGCAACTTCCCTGTAGAACCCATTAGCGAAGTCAAAGTTTTTAAAAAAGTAACTTGTTGTTTTTATCCTTTTTTTTTCAAAGCGTACAAGTCCTTTGTTTTTTGTCTTTTAATAATATAATTTTAATTCTAAATTTTATTACCTTCAAAAGACTTAATCTCTGGTGATTTTTAAACTTAAAATTGTCAAAGGTTTTATTTTAGTAAATGAATAAATTCAACCTAAAAAGTTTTTTTTTTTACTAAATAAATAAATTGAATTTAAAAAGTTTTTATTTTAGTAAATAAATAAATTAAACCTATATAAATTGTTAAACTTTTTATGTAAAAGCAAATATTTTTATTTATTTTAAAATTAAGTTAATTTTTTATTAGTATTTTTATTTAGTATAAAAATTGTGTTATGTTAATTTATTATTTAGTGGTATGTGGTTATGGTATTGGTTGTGATTTTACTGAATATGATATTTGCATAGGCGAAGAAAAAATCTATACTGCCATATGTACATGCAAAAGTGGATATGAATATAAAATTGGTAGCACTCTTTGTACAGGTAACTATGCAAGTCAATAAAGTATGCAAATAATTATTAATTTTTTTCATTCCTTTGCTTAGTAGTATGTATGTATATATGTATGTATGTATGTATGTATGTATGTATGTATGTATGTATGTATGTATGTATGTATGTATGTATGTATGTATGTATGTATGTATGTATGTATGTATGTATGTATGTATGTATGTATGTATGTATGTATGTATGTATTTATGCATGCATGGATGCATGCATGTATGTATGTATGTATGTATGTATGTATGTATGTATGTATGTATGTATGTATGTATGTATGTATGTATGTATGTATGTATGTATGTATTTATGCATGCATGCATGCATGCATGTATGTATGTATGTATGTATGTATGTATGTATGTATGTATGTATGTATGTATGTATGTATGTATGTATGTATGTATGTGTGTGTATGCGTGCGTGTGTCTATGTATATAGTTATAATTAAAGACCAAATTAATTAGCTTTTAAGGTGAAATTTTTTTCTATTCTTGCATTTACTCTATATAAAAAAAGTTACAAAAAGAGGTAGAAAGTTTATTTTTGATGTTGTTAATTTGAAAGATTATGAAAATTTATGTCAACATTAAAGTCATTTTTTACTTAGCAAAAGATTATTTTAAAAACTGAATAATTATTTGCATACTTTTTTTTTTGAAAACATTTCTAAACTCGTTTTAAAAATTTCATTTTCTCTTTCCAACCACTTTATCAAAGTCATCCTCAAAGGCCAACAATCTTCTTCATTTCCAGTAACTCAAGGTTCTATCTTGTTTTATTTCTTATCTACATTGATGATCTTCTCAATATTCTTACATCTAAAGGTAGCTCATTATACATCAGCTTTTGCTGTTGACCCAACTTTATACTCCTGTCTTGACAAAAAGTCTTCTCTTTTTGGTCGCTTAGAACAGGCAGCCAATCTTGAATCTGATTGGGGCTTGCAGTGGTTTATAAATTTTATTTTTAATAAAATTCAGTTATTTGCAAACAATTATTGCAATACTGTTGACATTTCTATGTTAATGAATGGCAACCCTCTCACTCTTCTTTACAACGTCTTGAATTATTGATCGCTAAATTAGCATTGACTAAGGTTACCTCTTATTATTGTTCTTGCCATTTTCTTACTCCCAGCTCTATTCTCTACCTCTACAAATCTCATATTTGTCCCTGTATGGAATACTGTTTTCATAGTTGGACTGTTACTTCTAATAATGCTCTTTGTCTTCTAGACAAGCTCCTAAAATGGATTGTAAATGTAGTTGGACCTGCTCTATCTGCTAAGCTTAAGCCTCTTTCCTATTTTAAAAAATTGCATCTTTTTCTCTTTTCTACAAATGCTATCATGGTTGCTGCTCAATAGGGCTATCATCTCTAGTTCCATTAACTTATTCTTGCTTAACTTGTCAAACTTATTCTTGCTTGACTTGTCATTCAACAAAATCTTATTTTATTACTGTGTCTGTCCCTACATGCTGTAAAAAAATTTATTCCTGATTTTTTTTTCTTGCAATTTAACTCATGGATCTCTCTCCCATCTTTATTTTATCCTGATTCATACCGCCCTTTCATATCTTCTGTCAACCATTTCCTTGCTCCTTAACTTTATATTTTTTTTCTAGTAACTCCCAACTTAATAGTGGTTGCTTGCAGCTTTGTTGGGAGTAAATAAAAATTGACAAAAATAAAAAAGCAAAAAAAATTAAATTAAAAAAAAAAAGCAAAAAAAAAATTAGGTTTTTCTAACTGTTAAATTAAGGTTACTGACAAAGTACTTTTACTTTTCCAAAGTTTTATTAGGTCTAGAAGATAACTTCCGCATTTTTTTTTAATGTTCTATTTTTTCAAAATAAAATTATTTTAATGAAACAAATTTTAGTTATAAGGTTCTCTTTATTATCAGTGTGCTATCAATATATGACTTTCCCAATATGACGTTATAAATATGTGTTATTTTTAAATTAGAAGATTGTCTAATGTCTAATGTCATTTGTGGTAAGCTCTTCTTTTCCTTTTCCATCTCAAGAAAAAAGCCGCTGATGTGCACCAAATGCTTGCCCAAGCTTACGGGGATGCTGCTCTATCTATAAGAACCTGCCAAGAAAAGTTTTATTGTTTTAAATCGGGCAATTTTGAGGTCAACAACAAAGATAGGCCAGGACAGCCAAAAAAATTTGAAGTTGAAAAATCAAAGCTTTATTGGATGAAGATTCCACACAAACACAGGAGCAACTCGCGACATCCCTCGGTGTCTTGCAAAAAGTCGTTTCTCTTCAATTGAATGCAATGGGGAAGATTCAGAAGAAAGAAATATGGGTGCTCTATGAGCTGTCAAAATGCAATAAAGATCAGAGAAACAACTTCATAAATCTTTCTGGACAGATTCCAAAGAAAGTCATTTTTGCACTGCATCATAACTGGCAATGAAAAATGGGTGTACTAAAACAATCCAAAGCAAAATCACCAGTCAGTCCCGGTGAAACAACAACTTCAACCGCAAAACAATAAATCCACGGGAAGAAGGTCTTATTGTGGATACGGTGAGATCAATGCGGCATACTGTGCTATGAGTTTTTTTTAACCTGGCAAAACAGTCACTGTGAATTGCTATCAACATCAATTAGCGCATTTGCATCATGAAATCGCAGTAAAGAGACCAAATATGCGGATTGACACGACAAACTTGTTATGTCAATTAGCAATAAACAATACTGATTCATGATAACGCAAGGTCGCATGTCTCAAAAGCAGTAAAAGACACACTAAAAAAGTTTAAAGGAGAAGTTTTACCACACCTGTCGTATTCTCTTTACATCCCCCCGTCAAATTATCACCTTTTCCAGTCAATGACTCGTGGTCTAGCAGAGCAGCGCTTTCAAGATCGTCAAGACATCAAAAAATGGCTTGATTAATGGATGGTAGCCAAACCAGAAAGGTTTTATTATGATAGAATTTATAAATTACTTTCGAAAAATGTTGTTATTAATGAAGGAAATTATTTTAAATAAAGTATTTTTTTTAGTTTGTCTAGTTTAACGTAGTTTAAAAGGTAAGTGTAAAAAATGCAGAAATTAACCTAAAATGCAGAAATTAAATTAAAAGGTAAGTGTAAAAAATGCAGAAATTAACCATTATATATGTCTCAGTTTCAGCTATTTATTGTATTTTTTTAACTTTTTTCTTAAGGAACCTAAAATAGAAATAAAAAAAACCATGTCCCTGGTAGCTGGTAGAAAAAGTAAAGTGCGGAGAAACAAGTTGAACTGCCCTCAACTTGTTTCTCCGTACAGCAACCATCAAGATTATACCTTGATCAATGTTGGATATATATATATATATATATATATATATATATATATATATATATATATATATATACATATACAGGGCCTATTTTAGGAAAAAAATTTGGGCAGCGGTACCCCCTCATTCTGGCGAACTTTAGTAGAAAATGGGCCTTTTTTTATGCCAAAAAATAATATTTGCCATAAAAAATATCAAAAAAAAAAAAGGTCCTCAAATTTTAAATTTAGCAGCGCCCAAATACGGTCAACGCTGTCAAAAATGGTCTAGAATATACATATATGTATCATATATATATATATATATATATATATATGTATATATATATATATATATATATATATATATATATATATATATATATATATATATATATATATATATGTATATATATATATATATATATATATATATATAATATATATATATATATATATATATATATATATATATATATATATATATATATATATATATATATGCACTTAAAAGTACTATTTTTTAAATAAACTTTTAATTTTTATAAACCAATACTATAACAAATAATTTTTTTTGCACAAAGTCTCTATTTTTTATTATAAGCTTCATTTTCTGTTATACTATATTACATAGTATTATAAATAATTTTATACAAAAGTAATTTTTGTTTATAAATAAATAAAAATTTGTAGACACACTCATAAGAATTATTAATTATTTATTAAGTCAATGAAAAATAATGGCTAACATTGAATATAGGTTGAGATTTATTTTTATTTAATTGTATTAATGTTATGTAGATGTGGATGAATGCACTTACTTGTGTCAAGGTGATGGTCTTATATGCAATAACTTTGTTGGTTCATTTCAGTGTGTTTGTCCTGTTGGATTTTCTTACAATTATACTAGCCTCAAATGTGAAGGTAATTTCTTTATAAAATTTAAGATATTAGTTTTATTTTGAAAAAACATTTAAAAATAATAGCATTAAAAAAAAACCGTGATGTTAAAAGTCATTTGACATTAAAATATTTTTTTAATGTTTTAAAAGTTTTTTAAATGCGCTCATTTAAATAGAATGGGAAATTTTGGTTTTTCGGAATCTAAGATCCAAATCCAAAGTTATAATTTAATAGTATTTAAGATTGTAAATTTAGACAAATTTTAAACAAAAAATCATAACAAAAAGTTACAGCATATTCGGTTTCATTTTACAAATCCCTATTAAAAATGAATTAAAAAAGAAGATATAAACGATTCTAAAAAGTTATTTTTATAATATATTCTTTAAATATGTGAAACAACGCAGTAGTTAAGAAGTTTAAGATTTTATGTGTATTAATTTTGAGTCTGAACAACAGATTGAAGATGATGTCATTAATTTTTGAAATAAATTGAAGTTTATTGAATTGGGAGTTTGATTCAACCTTCCTGGTCAACATGTCTCTCATCACAGCAACCTTATTCATCAAAGTTAATGTTTTGAAGTTAAAGAGTTGTAAAGCACCGCACAATAAAGTAGCCTCATCAATGTAGTGGTTTTTTTGACCTTGGGTAGGTGAGTAACATAATAGTAACAAAAAAAAAAAAATTCTATAAACTTAAAAATAAAACAATAACAATAATAAATTTAGAATTTTGTCAAAATTCTTTATGTTGTTTTCGGTACACATGCTCTGCAGTCTTTGGTTACTAAATACCATTTCATCAGCCTTGCTGAAAGAACTTTAGTTCCTATTATAATAAGAATTTAATCTCTGATTAAATTGTTTAGCTCAATTTGATTTAAAAAGTGAGGTTGAAAATTTGTTATTAGTTCAAAGTTTATTTTTTCTACTGTTGTTGCTGACTCTTAAGTTAAAATAATTATTTTATCTAGCTTTGTAAAAGAATGAAAAAACCACGCAACTTTAATATAGATATAATTAATAGTAGCATTCAAAACTTAATTAAAAAATAAATCCTTTGGTAATAGTTCATGTTAAGTTAAATTAAATTTAATATATTTAAGTATATTTATATTTTGTAAATAATTGGTTTTTCTTTGTCAAGATTAATAAGGAATTTAGTAAAATTTTTAAAAATCAAAAAAATTCTTGAAAATTCTATTCTAGAACTCTAGAAAATTAAAGGTTTAATTTTCACATATAAATTGACTTAATCAAGTGTATTTTATGTTCAAATTCAATTTATGTAAATTTATTTATATAGGCATAATAACTAGGTGGAAAAATTTAGTTTATTTAATTAATTAACCATTAGAAGAATTTTTTCAATGGAGATGCTACTACTAACAGAGAAAAATGTTCTTAGTGTTTATTTAAGTAAGATGAATATTTATATTAAAAAATATGTTCATTGAACATTTGGGATATGGCTTAAACAATATGTTTGAAAAACAGGTGATTAGTTTTCAGTGATCAAGAAGAGTACTCAAAAAGAAGAGTACTCCAAAAGCAAAGAAAGATGAATATGTAGGCACCTCACACTACCTATTTGTGCTTGCATATTATCTTCAGGAGAGTGCTCGATGAGTTAAAGTAAATTAAAATAAATTAAGTTAAAGCAGCTGTATTTATATATCAAAGAAAATTAGATTTGAGTAGTTTTTTCTGAGATTCTCAGATTTTGTGATTTTAGAGTTTCATGCTGTATCACTTTACTCATTTTGTAACTTTTTATTATTTAATTTATTTGTTTTTTTATTAGTATAATTTCAAAATAAAATATAAAAAATTTTAATAGTTTAGAGTTAATAAATGCAGATGAAAGTTAAATCAAAATTATCAAAGAAAGCCATTGATATATTAGATTAATTTTTAAACTGAAGCAGCAAGCCTTAACTTTTGATCGACATCAAAATAATATAGTAGATGTTATAAAGTTACATATAATACAAGTACAAATTATTATTACATATAACTAGTCATACAAAATAAATTTTACGGAAACAACACGTCAATTAAGTAGAAAACATGATATTTATTATTAGAACTAATAAAATATTGGAAAAGTTTAGGAGTTTTTAAAATAATTTTAATCAAACAGAATTATTAAAAAAAAAAAAAAAAGTGAGCTCTATTTTACAAACAATGGTTTGTATATAACGGGTGATGCCTATGTTATCAGCCAAAATAAAAACATCAATTACTTAATCATAAATGAAAAAAAAAACTATTACATTTTTCTAAAATAAAGTATTTATCTTTCATAATAATAAGTTATTTTATAAATGAAAAAGCACCACTATCTGCAATTGAGAAGTGTAAAACAATGGCTCTGACATACCACAGTCAGATATGGCTATCCACATTAATAATTTTTTGGAAATTTCTCTTTTTCTATAAAATGAACAATTTCTGGACATGTTTTTTTGTTGTTTGTGTAGTATCCAGAATTTCCATTTCCATGTTGTTCCCTACAAAACAAAAGTATTTTTCTTCATTAATGACCAGAAATGTAGAGTTGGTTAACTAGTTTACTGCTTCTTTTTTTTAATTGCTGTTCTATAGTGTATTCACATTTTCTATATTTAATATTCAATATTTTTAAATGAGGACCAATAGTCAACTGATTTACACAGAATTTAAAACCTATTTTTCTCTGACTGACCCCTTTTTGATTGTTGACAAATTTCTTTAATTTTTTTCTCTCTTTCTTTTTTCTAGTCCAGGATGTTAGACAACCAGGGTGCTTTCTATCAGAAAAAGATTGAACAGTTCCAAGTCTTATTAGGTTTCATATATTGTACTTGGAACAAATCCTTCCTTTTCAAAATGATTTACGATTTCTCTATTTATATTAGATTTATATATAAAAAACATTCTGAGTTGCTTTCGAAAAGATTCTCGTTCAGCTGCATTTAACCTCACTTTAAATAATTGTAATTCGAATAAAAAAGTTTATGTTTTATATCAGAGCTGTAAAACATTACAAAAATGTTTTAAATTAAAATTAGGCAAATAGTTTTGATTAGCAAAAGTTCATTTACTTTTTAATTTAAGTTATTACAATACTATAAGTCATATTTACTCTACTCTTGTCTTCAATAATCATGTTCTGGTTGTGTTCCAGTCACTTATTTTTCATATCTTCAGTTAAAACTTGATTTTTGTTGGACAACAACCCATTAAACTCTCTTTAGCCAACTGTCCCTCTAAACCGTTTTTTTGGAGACATTCATTTTTTATTATTGTAGCTAGTTGAGCCATACTTTTTTTTTTCTTTTTTTAAAACAGATGTCCTTGATTTTGCGGTATTAGTGATCCTTTTTCTGCCACTTCTGCCAACAGGGTCTGGTTCTAGGAGCACATCTGTATTGATTTTTAATTTAGGTCAATGAAAGGTGAGAATGGTTACAAATCTGGATTTATGCATTAAAATTAGCATAAATAATTAATTGTAAACCATAACTAATTAAATTATTAATCAATACATTCGTTTTGTTAGTCCTAAACTCAAAAAACTTGCAAAAAATTGTTCTTAAAATGTATAATCAAACTTAATTTTGAACTTTACCCACACTCTTCAATAGTTAAAAGCTAAATAAGTAATGAGCTGACTTTATATATGATATAGATATATATAGATCTGGCGGACTGACAGTACTGTCATAATTTGAAAACATTAATTTATATATCAGTAATTAAAATATTCCAGAGAAATTTATTAAAAACAATTTATTTGCCTTCAAAATTAATTTAAACTTTAAAGTTAAAAAAAAAGTTAAGTATCCTTAATAATTTAATCAACCACTGTATAAATATATATGTATGTATATATATATATATATATATATATATATATATATATATATATATATATATATATATATATATATATATATATATATATATATATATATATATATACATATATATATATATATATATATATATATATATATATATATATATATATATATATATATATATATATATATATATATATATATATGTGTATATATATATATATATATAGATATATATATATATATATATATAGATATATATATATATATATATATATATATATATATATATATATATATATATATATATATATATATATATATATATATATATATATATATATATATATATATATATATATATATATATATATATATATAGGCCTTGATTTAAAGCATTATGCCTAGGGCAATTTTTTAAGCGATTTTTACATATGCGTAGAGCGGTTTTGGTTAAGCTACTTTATCATTTTTTAACTTTTAAATTAGCGGTAACATAAAAGAAGTAATTAATTTTAAAAAAAACTACATTAACTTTTGATTAACGATATGTAAAAATATTTGTTACTAAAAAAAATAAAAAAATAATTGTAGTAACTTTTCTTCGCGATAATTTTATCTTACCTTTTTATAGCAATTAATTTTACACTAAACTTTTTATCTAAATATTTAGCAACATGAAAAAAGTTCGTCAATCATCAACTAAAACTTTTTTACAAATTTTTTTAATAAAAAGTAGTAATTTTTTTAAAGTTTTCAGTAAAATTTTTTCATTAAAAACTTTAAAAAAATCTATATTCCAAATTATTTAATGCAGAATATAAATGTTTTTTGCAATATAGATTTTGAATCTGAATATTATTAAATATTATTATTAAATTCTGAATTATTATTAAAACATTTACAAAAAAATTGCAGTTAAGGATTCACATTTTTTTTAATATCTCAAAAAAATGTCTTAATATTTTTGTTATCATGATAACAAAAATATCAAGACATTTTTTCAAGATATAAAAAAAAAAATGTGCCAATGAATGAACAATCTTTTTTTTATTGTATCAAAAATTATTTCTTCATTAAGTATTACTCTTTGCTTTTCTTCTTCATTAAAGGTACCTTTACCTTCAAGTTAAGCGGGGGAAGGGAGGAGGGGGGCGGAAAAAAAAATTCAAT